AAATATGAGTCTGCAGTCCAGGTGAGAGGTCTGGGCTGCAGTCGTGACCTCGGGGGCCACCAGCATGTGGCTGACCCACAAAGCCACCACACCGAGTGCCATAGCTGAAGTCTGAGTGTAGCTGTGGGAGAGAAGGGTGCTGAGGACCAGCCAGCGGCGCCCCAGGGCTCAGAGGGGGGCAGCTGGCTCGGGGAGACGAGGGGAATTCATCGAAGGAGAGAGAGAGTGGCCAGTGAGCGGGGAAGACCAGGACGCTGGTGTCCCCAGAGTCACCTAACAGCACGTAGAGTCATCCGCTGTGTAGATGTCATTGTGCCAAGAAACCTGAGGCCTGGGACCCCATCCTTGACCTTGGGAGTGATGATCACTAGGTGTGAGAGTGAGAGGAGAGCGTGGAGAGCGGGTGAGGAGTTCTACGAACACGACCAGGAAAACGGGGTCGTCAGGGCGAGACTGTGTGTTTGGTTTGGTTTTACGAGAGGCTGAAGGGATGTTGCCGCAGAGGCGGGAAGGATCGAGGTCTATTCCGCGAGTACAGGGCTTGGCCTCCAAATATACAGCTGCGAAACCATAGGAGGAGGGAAGAAAAATGTCCGAATCCAGGTGCTCGGCAGACAGGTGGACGCGGTGGGCACGTCTGGGGTTCTCAGGGCAGCAGGCGGCGGAGTCGGGGAAATAAACAGTGTCAGACTAACTGTGCTGCGAGTGTCTATAATAAACGCTTCCGATGCATGTATTATTCTGGCGCTCAAATAGCGTGGTCATCAGCCTTCCGCTTTAGAAAGGTTTCAGCAAACACCCATCATGGGTTCGGTGCTCCTGTGAGCCAGTTGGGTTTACTCCGGAAAGCCAACCAACCATACCCCAGGCTCCGTCAGCTGTCCTGAGAATCCCAGCGTCAGCCCCAAGGCAGATGAATCGGAGAAAAGCCACCAACACGGCGGAAAAATGATTCAGTTGTGTCCATCCTGATGCTGCGTCCCTCACAGCATCTCCCGGCAGAAACAGCCACACAGAAATTTAAGATACGAAACAAGAATGGAAGGGAAGGGAATCAAAAAATAATATAAAAACAGGGAGGGGACAAAACATAAGAGACTCTTAAATACAGAGAACAAGCTGAGGGTGGCTGGGGGGGAGGTGGTGGGGGATGGGCTAGGTGTGCGATGGGCATTAAGGACACTTGCTGGGATGTGAGCACTGGGTGTTACATGTAGGGGATGGTTCTCCGGAATCCACTCCTGAAATCCTTATCGCACTAGATGCTAACTTGGATGCTTGGATGCATTTAAAAAAAAAATTATATAGGGGCACCTGGGTGGCTCAGTTGGTTAAGCGTCCGACTTCGGGCTCAGGTCATGATCTCACAGTTCGTGAGTTCGAGCCCCGCGTCAGGCTGTGCTGACAGCTCAGAGCCTGGAGCCTGTTTCAGATTCTGTGTTTCCCTCTCTCTGACCCTCCCCTGCTCACGCTGTCTCTTTCTCTCTCTCAGAAATAAATAAAACATTAAACAAATTTTAAAAATATAAAAAATATAAATAGATAGATAAAAGAATAGCCACACGGAGCTGCCAAACATCCGCAAAGATTTTATTGTCAAGCCCCACGGGGTCACAGAGCCAACATTCGGTCAGCAGCTTTGCGCCCTCTGCAGAAAGTTTCCAGATCCAAACCAGCGACGCCCAGTTCAACCTGGGGCAGGTCTGCAGGGAGGACTCGCGTGGACAGGTGACGCAGACGCGGGAGGTGAGGACGCCCACCGGGCTGCTGGAGACCGGTCACCGTGGGTGGGGACCAGCCCCAGCTCGCTGGCGTCTGCACACGGTTCCAGCGGGAGTGTGTGAGCGGGATGGGGAAGGAAGCAGGCATCCGGGCGGCACCGTGGGGTCAGGGGAAGTGATGCAGAGAGGGGCCCAGGGCAGCGAGGGACCCGCCCACCAGCCCTATGACCCCGTGCCAGGCGCAAGTTTCTTCCCAGCCTGTTTCTAAGAGGGGGACAGTATCTAGCTCAGGGACAGCTGTGGCAGTTAAAGGTGATCACTTATCTGAAGTCGATAGTGCGCGTGAACAACTGAGAAGCAGCCATTACCCTCCGGGGCCACCGGGAACGCGAGGCTCAGCCTGGCCCCAGCCTCGCGGGCTGCCCATCCCAAAACCAACGCACGTCCATCTGTTTGTAAACAAGTATTCACCTGGCCCTGAACTAGACTCTGAGACGGAAAGGTGAGCACAGACAGCCGGGGCTCCTGCCCTCACAGGGCTTGCTGTCTGCTGGGAAACATGCGGACTTCAAACTCCCACAAATATACAAGTCTGAGATAGCGGTGTCCTGAGAGCCTGTACGAGGGAGCAGCTCGACGAATTCGGGCACATTTCTGCCACCGCACACCCTCGTCACCGCAGCAGAGCTTGCCCGCTGGCTCCCTCACCCTCCGCCACAGGCCACTGCTCGCCTGCTTTCTGCCACCAGACGCTGGATTTGTCTCTTCCAGCTTCCCGCGGATGACACCAGACCCCACGTCTGCTGCCAGGACTGGCTTCTCCCGCCCACGTGTTGCGAGGAGTCCGGCCGTGGGCAAGCCCGCACCTGAGTGCTGCCAAGTGGCCGCCGTGACGTGGGTGTGCAGTTCGTGGCGCACGTGGGCTGTGTCCTGGTCTCTCAGCTGCTGTGAAGACGGCTGCTGAGGGTCGTGGGAACACATTTTATTGCTTCCGAGCGGAAACCCAGGAGCCGAGCTGCCGCGCCCGGGGCTCAGTGCGCATTTCCCTTCACGAGAACCTGCCACGCGGCTTCCCAAAGACGTGGTGTGTCTTCCGGCGTGGCCAGCAGGTGGGGGCGTTCCCGGAGCCCGGGCAGGGGCGCTGTCCGTGCGGCCGTTCTGGGGGGGCTTCCCGGGTTTTCCTTGCCTCTCCCTGGTGAGCGTGGTGTCTTCACACGAACAGTGCGCCTGCTGTCGTGAGGTGTACGTCTTCTGCCCATTTTAAAATCTGGTTGGTGGTTGTGTTTTTATCGAACTGTGTTCCCCGTATTCTGGACACAAGTCCTTCGTCAGCTATTAGGGTGACATATGTTACTTCACACCCTGTGGTTTGCTCTTTTGAAGATCAGGGTTTTTTGTGACAGCTTTATTGATATATAATTCTAAATCATGTCTTTATAAGACTACAATTTTTAGTTTTTTTTTCCTTCTGGTGCAGGTTTTTGTGTTATAGCTAAGAAATCTTTACCCACTCTGAGGTTGAGAAGATTTTCTCCTATGTCTCTTCTGGGATTTTTATAGTTTTAACTCACATTTAGGTCTGTGATCTGTTGCGCCTTCTTCTCTGTGTGCAGCGTTAGCTAAGAGTCAACACTCCCTGTTTTTATATGTGGTGTGTGTGTGTGGTTTTTCTTTTTCTTTCTTTCTTTTTTTTTTTTTGTAATAAAACACACAGGGAGCTGCACTTTGAAAGACCAAGTCAAAAACCCAGCCAGAAATGTCACGGATTTCCCGGTGCTACTTGGTTAATGAGATCACTGCGGTTTAAAGGTCAGGGTTTGTGGGCTCCTGTGCAAACACACCCCAGCCGGCTGAACCCGAATGCGCTTCCTCGTGTCCATTCCTGATGCTTCCCCCCTGCACTCGGCCGATTCCTGCCGGTGGGTGGGAGCACCTCACACACTGAGCGGGGAGGGGGCGCCGAGGTGAGACGGGCAGACATGATCCCCAGGGACATGGCTCTCAGATGGGATTGGGTGATAAGCCAGAGTTACTTCTGCAAAGAGTGTTTCCTGCCGACTTGCCCCAGTGTCTAATCCCCATCGTTAAGAACCACAGGGGACTCAGGGCGCCTGGGTGGTCAGTGGGTTGAGCATCTGAGTTCAGCTCAGGTCATGATCTCACGGTTCATGGGTTCGAGCCCCGCGTCGGGCTCTGTGCTGACAGCTCAGAGCCTGGAGCTGCTTCGGATTCTGTGTCTCCCTCTCTCTCTGCCCCTCCCCCGCCCGTGCGGTCTGTCTCTCTCAAAAATAAATAAAAGTTAAAAAATTTAAAAAAAGAAGAAGAACCACAAGGGACTATTAACTACAGAGAACAAACTGATGGTCACCAGAGGAGGTGGGGCGGGGCACAGGGGATGGAGACTCCAGCCTGCGCTTACCTGTGTGAGATGGGATAAGATACGAGATGAGATGAGAAAAGACAGAAACGCAGGCTGCGGTGTCTGGTTCTCTGCACTGCGCGTCGGGCACCGGGAGCCTGACCCCGGGGGCACTGAGAGTGTGTATGGAATCTGTGTGCAGGTGTGTGGAGTTGACCCCGACTCTAAGAGCGATTTCTGAAGGGTTTTCTTCAAATCAGTCTTAAAAAAAAAAAAAAAAAAAGGATCCCAGAGGAAGCAAATCGCAAATTAACCGAATCCCCCGTGAAAGCGCGGAGCTGAGAGGGGGAGGGCCTGGTGTCTTTACGGGATCTGTCAGTGCTTCCAGCGCGAGCCCCTGCGGCGGGGGAGGAGGGAGAGCGGGGGTCTAGAACGGAGTAAGGCCCTCCTGCACTGCAGTCAAACATACCGACCTCAAGACCTGAGCTCAGGATCTAAGAAGGGACACAACTGTGTAATTTGTGACATTTTCTAAGGGGAAGGTTTGACTGTGGCTCAGCATGGAGTCACTTACCCGTCTCTGTTCCGACTGCCCAGAGCCCCCTCCGCATCTGGCTGCCGTGTCCGTCAGCTCTGGGTGGCGGGCCGGGTGGCAGCGTTGGACGGGGGTGGGGGTGGGGAGAGGTCAGCGAAAAACCTGAAGCGCCCGGGGCCCCGGGGCCACCTGCAGGCAGGATGTAGACCCCACCCCCATGCAGTCGGAGGGGTGACTCGGAAAATGACTTCTGGGTCACGGGCACACCTGTCACCAGGGCAGAAGAGGCACCCTCTCCCCGGCCCCCCATCCCCTTAATTCAATCCCCGTCCCCTGTCTTGGGCTTTGCCCTTCTGCTCGACGCTCAAGCAGGACACAAATTACATACTGAGACAAATACAATTTATTCATCAAAACGAGAACAAAATTCCCGTAACTCTGCAAGATCGATTTACATCACCCAGGTTGTTTGCTCGGCGGGAGTGAGTGCTGTGAAAACTAGGCAGGTTTCACAATCCGGAGCGTTCGCTTCTTCTGGCCGGTCAGTAGTACTGCTTCAGGAGCGATAGTATTTCACAGATCCTTCCTGTGACTTCCAGAAAAGTCAGCCAGCCAGACTTGGGTTCGAACTTCCTTACAAAGCCATTTTCCTGTTGTTGAATAAATTTCACATTTTAAAAGTCAGAGGAGGCGGTGTACGGGGATGGAGAGCAAACCCCCACTCAGCAAAGGCAGCTACTCGGCCCCTGCACGCCCGCACTGGCGTCACCTTGTCCATCACATCATTGCCCCACAGTCCTACTCTGCGCCTCTCTGGGCAGCACCGACCCACAGAAATACCGTGGGAGCTACAGGGGGAAGCTTAAGGATCTACCAGCCACATTTTTTTTTAAGTTTATTTATTTACTTTAAGAGAGAGAGGGAGCAGGGGAGGGGCAGGGAGAGAGGGAGAGAGAGTCCCAAGCACAGAGCCCAACATGGGGCTTGAACCCACAGACGGTGAGATCATGACCTGAGCCAAAATCAAGAGTGGGACGCTCAACTGACTGAGCCACCCAGGTGCCCCAGCCACGTTTTTAATTTTTTTAATTAAAAAAAACTGTTTTAAATGTTGATTCATTTTTGAGACCTCTGAGAGCAAGAGCTGGGGGAGGGGGACAGAGGATCCAAAGCGGGCTCTGAGCTGTCAGCACAGAGCCCGACGTGGGGCTTGAACCTACGAACCGTGAGATTCTGACCTGAGCCAAAGTCAGTTGCTCAATGACTGAGTCCCCCAGGCGCCCCCAGCTACATCTTTTAAAGAGGAGATATGTAAAATTAATTTTAAAATAGATTTAATTCACCTAAAATATGATTTCAGTATGGAACCAGTATGAAAATTATTAAGATATTTTGTATCTTTCATATCAAACCTTTGCAATCCGATGTGCGCTTCGTGCCCGCAGCGCATCTGCACTGACACTATAGCCACACCGCGAGTGCTGGGCACACACAGGTGCCGAGCGGCTACCACACTGGACGCGCAGCTCTGGAGGAGAGAAAGTCTCATTTTTTCCCTCGTTTCCAATTGTCTGGGGTTGTGATCTGCGTCTCTGTCTGTCAACGGTGTTGTGCAGAGTCCTGAGGACCCACAAGAGAGCCAGAGTCAAGCAGTGGCTCTGAGCCTACGACAGGCGGCTTCCCGAGCACGGCTGCACACAGACACCTGCCCCGGGGATTTTCCGCCGGAGGGACTGCCCCAGAAGGCCGAGAGCCAGTTTTCAGACAACAGAGTAGGCAGGGCCCACTGTCATTTCTGACCTAAACCCACAGAGCGTCCTGACCGCACAGACTCTGGGATCGCCCAGCCTGATGCCTCTGTTACCCCCACACGTAAGCTACCTAAAGTCACTGAGCTTCCCGGCGCCCGGGCCCGTTCTAGACGCCAGCCCTGTTCTTTCCTTCTGCAAGTTTCCAAGCCACCACCCGAAGGATTAGAAAACGTAGAGTAATGTTTTTAAATGTTCATCTACTAAACACTTGCTCTGCCTCCAGCCGGTTTCAGGTTCTGAGGGGACGAGTCCCTTCAAGCAGCTCATGGCCCAGGTGACTCTGCCCTGGGGCTGGAAGAGACCTGTTGTCCGGGTCCCTGGGCCTCTTCCCGAGCAGACGCCCCCGGGGGCGTCTTCCTTCTGCGGGATTGCCCAAGAAAGCCAGCTTCTGTCCACACAGCGTCAGGTGCAGAGTCACGCTCTGAGCACCCGCTGTCGCGGCCTAACGGAGGGAACATGCTGTTCCTCTGTCTCCTTCCTCCTCCCTCCCGCCTTTACACACGCACACGTTTCCCACGCGCCCCTCGCTGCTTCCCTTCCTGGGAAGGGAACAAGACGCTCTTGAATGGCTTTTACCAGGACAGTGGCCACTTTTGGGCACTTAGCACATCATCCGACAGACACTCAACCTCTCAGTTAAAGAGCACGAAAAAAGGGGAATAACGGATGAATCCAGATATTAGAAGATTAGAAATTTTTTTTTTAGGGGCGCCTGGGTGGCTTAGTCGGTTAAGAGTCCGACTTTCTGACTTTCGCTTGGGTCATGATCTCGCGGTTCGTGGGTTCAGGCCCCGCGTCGGGCTCTGTGCTGACTGCCAGCTCGGAGCCTGGAGCCTGTTTCAGTCTGTGACTCCCTCTCTCTGACCCTCCCCTGCTCACGCTGTCTCTCTCTCTCTCCTAGAAATAAATAAAACATTTAAAAAAAAAAAAGAAAATTTTTTAAAACTTTTTTTTAAGCTTTTTATAGCTAAAATTAATAGGAGAGAATTCATGGTAGCTAAGACATGGAAGGAAGGCAAGCGTCCACCCGCTGATGAGTGGATTACCGAAGGGTGGAATGGCGCTCAGCCTTAAGAAGGACGTTCTGACAGCTGCTACAACGTGGATGGACGTCGTGCTCAGCGGGCAGAGCCAGTCACAAGAAGACAAACACTGAGTAACCCCATCGACACAAAGTACTCGCAATAGTCAAAACCATAAACGCAGAAAGTAGGATGGTGGTTACCATGATGGGGGGTGGGGAGCTCGTGCTCAGGGGGCGCAGAGTCCTGGGGGTGGATGCTGCTGATACCTCACAACAGTGCGACTATTTAATACTGCTGACGTGGGCGCTTAAAAGTGGTTAAGCCCATACCTTTTATGTTACGTGTATTTTAACAGAATAAGAAAACAGAAAAGAACTGACCAGGAAAATATTTATATTCATCATGAAAGGGCTTATTCAAGGGTAAGAGAATCATGTCGAGCCCTTAAGTGTTGAAAAGACACACATGAATCACGCACAGTGGGTGTGAGGAAAACTCAACGTTACCAGCAACTAAAGAAATTCACGTGGTAATACGGTCTCCCTGTTTCTTAGACCTATTAAATTGATCTTGTTGTTTCGTGTCTTGTGAAACCCCCCAGATCTTGTTTAATGGTCCTGCCCCCTTGCTGGTGGAGTTGCTGTGACGTCCTCCGTTGGCAGAGCGCTTTCCGGAAGCAGTATGTGTCCCGAGATCAGCACGACGGGCAGTCAGTCCACCGTCAGACACTGATGGTGAGGCGGCCTGCTCCGAGAAGGGGCGGAAACACACCCAGGGCGGCCGTGACGCGTTATTTCTAGAAGGAAGACAGCCCAACTGTCTAACTATTGGGAACCGGTTAAGTACTTATGGTGCGTGAAGTTGGGATGTTCCGTAGGCGCTACACATGCTGGTGTGGAAGACGTGAGGCAGCGCTGAGAATATTCGTGGCCTCACGTGAGAGAGCTCTGCGTTCACCTCAGTCGTAACTACACAGGACGCACGCACGCAGATGGTTACGGGGCACGAGTGGTGTTTCTTCTTTCAAAAATACATTTTCAGTGATGCTATTCGTATCTTAAAACCATCGTGTGAAAATAGAGAAATAGGGGCGCCTGGGTGGCTTAGTCGGTTTAGCGTTCGACTTTCGCTTTGGTCATGATCTTGCGGTTCGTGGGTTCGAGCCCCGCGTCGGGCTCTGTGCTGACTGCCAGCTCAGAGCCTGGAGCCTGTTTCAGTCTGTGACTCCCTCTCTCTCTGACCCTCCCCTGCTCACGCTGTCTCTCTCTCTCTCTCCTAGAAATAAATAAAACATTAAGAAAAAAAATTTAAAAAATAATAAAAAAAAAAAAGAAAATAGAGAAATAGGGATTCGACGTCCTGTCCGTAATGTGGGAATAAAGCAGCAGCGCCCAGATCTGGTTGCTTCGGGGAATACTTCATTAGATTCAGTGACCTTGGCTTCAAGAAAGCCGACAGCATAAAATAATGTCCTGCATCAATAATTCAAAGAAACCCAGATCCTCAGAAGTGTTTAGATCTAGGAAGACACCACAATGTTATCCGCACGTTTCCCCGGTGATATTCACTCCACGTACTCATTCGACAAATATCTACTGAGCATCAGCCGCATGCCGGGCAGTGTTTGAAGCCCTGGAAACAAACTGGTGAACTAAACACGCAGGACCCCTGGCCTCACAAAGCTCGACTTCTCGTCCCAGAGAAAGTCAAGGAACAGATAAGCAGGTAGGAGCGAGTTCAGCAGGGTACAGGGCAGAGCAGTGGTGGTGCCGTCAGAGACGGGACGGCTAAGGGAGACTCCCCGAGGACAACCGTGGCGTGGACCCCTGGGAAGGGCAGCGGGGCCGATGCAGACCCCTGGTGGCTCCAGGCTCGGCAACAGCAAGTGCAAAGGCCCTGAGGCAGAGTGTGCTTAGCTTGTTACCCAGGGAGGCTGGAGCTATAAGAGCAAAGGAAAGATTCACAGGAAATGGGGTCAGTTGGGGGTATAGGGCCGGACCAGGTAGGGCTCTGATTCAGCAGTCAAAACTTTATTTTATGCTTGCTCCCGGGTGAAGGGGTGTCTGGGAGGCTTCCCATTAGGTCAGGGCAGGAGCGAATTCAAGTTCTGGCTGCTGTGTGGGGAGCAGACGGTAGCAGGGTGAGGATGGAGCCCGGTACGCGGCTCGGGCCGACGTCAGGCCAGAGAGACGTGGCCTGGATGCGCTGGGCGAGCGGCCAGCAGGACTGGCCTGGGTCCTGGCCGAACGGTGTGAGGGTGAGGGCTCGAGAGGGATGGCCAAGCTAGAGCACGTTCCGGAAGGGTCCATGGCAGGGGGCCGGGGTTGGGGGCGGCTAGAACTGCTTCTCCTTCCTTTTCAGTAAATGACTTCAAATCTCAAGTCAAAGTTGGAGAGAAATATAAGGAGAACGTGGTCCCCAAATCTAAGGAATCAAAGGATGTGAGAGGCCGCTAGCGACCTGTCCCCGCGGGAAGCGCTCTGCGCCCCTTGAGACGCCCCTGCTGGGAGGGCACCCGGCGCCGTGCCCGAGTCTGCGCGTCCCGCTGGTCGGCACCAACAGACCCCCTTCAGAGCTGGAGGATCAGAGAAGACCACAACCAGCCGAGCAAAACCCGGCTTGCCTTAGCCCTCCTGACTCTTCCGGTCACTGGGAAAGCACCAGCGCGGCCTGGCGCCCCTACCTTGCAAGGGGCTTTCTTTCCGTGTTGGGGTGTTTTTCACAATTGTGTGGTTACACGTCCCGGAATGTCCCGGGTGCCCTTCACAGCTACTTGACGTTTCGCAAAACGCTCCTGACTCCCCTTTGAAGCGGGGGAGGGAGGGTGACTCAAACCAATCAGAAATGAGACAGATCACATTGCAAGTGGCACTGGCCACACACGGGCTTATCCAGGGCATCTGGTTTAGATGGTGACTAATATCTAATCCTCGATGGTATAATTTAGGACCGAATCGGTTAATCCGGGAAGTTCGGCAACGCTACCACTACTAACGGCGACCCTACACTTGTGCCTCACAGTCGGCGCTCGCCGTGCCCAGGCGGCCCCGCGTTCTGCCCTCCCGGCCCAGAAGTTTTCACAACGTCTCTAATCACAGCCGCAAAGTAAGTAGAAGGTCGGTACCGTCCGGCTGCGCGCTACCTGCTCCCTCACCCCTCATGACGGGCACGCAGGGCAGGACCGGAGACCCCGTGCCTTCGGGTCGGCCACGTCTGGCCGAGTTCTGCGGGTCAGGAAGCCTTGACTGTAGAGCAGCCATTTGCCATTTGCCCCGAGATGAGCCCTCACGAGCAAGTTCACTCGCGCCGGCCCGTCGCGTGCGGACACAGGTAGGACCAGGCCACGGTCCAGCCTTCCCGTCACGGGCCCGCGCCCCGCGTGGGCCAGAAGGGGCACCTCCGGAGCGCGTCCGACACGTCTCTGCGCCCAGCTGCTCAGGTGGGAAAGCCCGGCGCGTCAGCTTGCCTGCCCCCGAGGGCCCTGTGAGGGCTGCGTGTGCGTGGGCACGCCTGCTATCGCCTGCGTATTTGTGCATCCACTCAGCACGGCTTCATCCTGCCCCCCCCCCCCCCAGAGACGAGTCCACTTCCAGAAACTCTCGGACGACCCTGTGCCCCCACTGGTGGGGACCTCCACGAGCTCACGAAACAGACGGTTTACTGTTAAGTGTTTGGTACGTTCATCACAACGTATGTGCTCCCGGTACCGCGTGACGCGCCAGGACACAGTCTGAGCCCAGGGAGCTGCGGACTGGGTTCCCCTGCAGGCTCGCACGCCGTCTCCGCGCTAGAGTTCTGCCTTCGCTGGAAACTCCGTGGCACAGTGGGAATTCCCACCCGTCGCCCAGGATAGCTTCCCAGAGCCGGCGGAAGAGAGCCGGACCCCACCTCCCCGGGCTCCATCCAGCCCGAGTCAGTCTGAGTTGGGGGGAGAGGGAGGGCGGAGGGGGACCGGCTGCGGGAAGCCCCTTCGTGACAGCAGAAAGCCTCAAACAAGATGCAGGGGACACCCCGTAAAATGTGGCTGCGTCAACATTTACAACATTTATAATAACCAGTGGCGCCTGGCTGGCTCAGTCGGAGGAACATGCGACTGTTGATCTCAGGGTCGTGAGTTTGAGCCCCATGGGGGCGTAGAGATTACTCAAAAGTAAAATCTTTAAAAAGTAAATAAAAATAAAAATAAAACATTTATAATAACCAAAGACAGCTTTATATATATTTTATTTTTGGAGAGAGAGAGAGTGCACAAGTGAACGAGGGGCAGAGAGAGAGAATCCCAGGAGGGGCAGAGGGGGAGAGAGAGAGAGACAGAATTGGGGCTCACCCAAAGGGGGCTCACCCAGAGTAGGGCTCGAGCTCACACAATGTGGGTCTTGAACTCACGAACCGTGAGGTCACGACCCAAGCCACCCAGGCGCCTGACGGCTATGGTTTTGTTTTTATTTATTTATTTATTTTTTAATTTAATTTATTTTTGAGAGACAGAGAGAGATAGAGCATGAGCAGGGGAGGGTCAGAGAGAGAGGGAGACACAGAATCTGAAGCAGCTCCAGGCTCTGAGCTGTCAGCACAGAGCCCGACGTGGGGCTCGAACCCACGAACCGTGAGTTCAGTGACCTGAGCCGAAGCCGGATGTTTAACCGACTGAGCCACCCAGGCGCCCTCTGCCGCTATAGTTTAAAAAGAAAATTATCATGTTAGAAGGTATTTACCGCACATAATTTTTGTACATAAAAGTACATGAAAATAAAAACATACAAAAAAGAATGGCTACAAATCAATGAGAAAAAGACAAAAAGTAGGAAAATGGAGTACGAATAGGCAACTCGCCGAATAAAGACTACGAATGGTCAGTAAACGTATGGAAAGATGTTCGACCTCACTGGCAATCAACGGAGAAGGGGTCAAAACAAGAGAACTTTGATGCATTTTCTGAACCCGGGGATCAGGGAAATGAGCCGGTCAGCGGGTGCGGGGACCCCTGGGCCCAGCCCCCTGGAGGCATCAAACAACGCACACGTCCCAGGACCCAGCAGCGTGACACCCACAAGGGAAGGCACGGATAAAGGCACTGGGAAGGACCGCTGCGAGAGCAAACTGGAAATAACTGAGTATCCGTCAGCCAGAGACGGCCGGACATTCGACGGCATTTACACACAACAGCATCGATGTAGGACTCTTTTTTTTTTTTTTTTGTAGGACTTGTTAAAATAATATTTTAAAGACCCTTGGGTGAAAAAAAAACCAGAATAAGCACCATGTACTATTTATACATATAAAAATTTTTTTTTACAAAAACGTAGCGTGTATATTTTCTATAGAGATATTCAATAGGTAAGATCTGCATGTAAAATAATTGCTAACAGTGCGTATCTCCTCTCTGGGGAGACAGAGGTTGGGACCAGGGGCTGGAAGGAGGGTCCATGGAGGCAGAAGTACTTACAGAAAGTCAGTGTTACGGGGCTCCGGGAGGGGGGCGGGGCGCAGTCAGTTAAGGGTCTATTTTGGCTCAGGTGAGACCCGACAGCTCACAGCCTGGAGCTGCTTCCGATTCTGTGTCTCCCTCTCTCCCTGCCCCTCTCCGGCTCATTCCCTCTCCCTCTCTCTCTCTTTTGAACATTAAAACATTAAATAAACATTTAAAAAGTTAAAAAGTCAGTATTACGCATATTGGGGTAAGAAGACAAGCATTAGCCCCCCTGCGAAAGGCCCCTTATCAAGACTTCTGACAGAGTCAGCTCCGTCTCCCGGTCCGGGCTCTCTGAGGCTTTGATAACAGTGACTTGCGGCCGCTATAGCACATTAGCGTTTTTATCAGCAGCTTAAATAGCCAGATTTTATGTTGGAAAAATGGGGGGAAAGAAGAACATCAGTTTGTAAACAAGGAACTTGCAAAAATGTGCCTGTCTTTTGCAAAATAATAAATACCCAAATATAAGAGCATCTAACAGCACCTCTTTCTGTACTAATTCTGTGTTGTCCTGGCAGCCTGGCCACAGCTGTGTCCTCCGCCGGGCTCGGCCCTGCTTCTGACGGGCGCACCGCGGGCGCCTGGCGCTCCCAAATCTTACCCCCACAGGCGACGCCTTTAGGAATAAAACCTATCCAGCTGTAGAGTTCTGGGACTCACTGGAAATGGGCCAGATATGTCTTATTTTAAAATGAGAAACGTCAGGGGTGCCTTGGCGGCCCCATCAGTTAGGCGTCCAGCTCTGCGTTTTAGCTCAGGTCACTATCTCACGGTTCATGAGATCAAGCCCCGTGCAGGGCTCTGGGCTCATGGCCCAGAGCCTGCTTGGGATTCTCTCTCTCCTTCTCTCTCTGCTCCCCTCTTTCTTAATAAATAAGCTTTTCTTTAAAAAAATAAAACTTTAAAAATAACCCCCCCCAAAGAAAATAATAGATTTTTTTTTCTAATTAGGGAGAAACTGTCAATTCCTATTTCAAAGGTAAGAACCATGAGAAACGTTCCCGCCACACATACCCAGCCTCCGTTTCGCCTGATCCATTCTCCTGTGTGCTGCATGACGAACTCGGCCACAAAGTAGGAAATCTTAACCGTATCCACGTCGGGGGCAACTCGCTCCTGGAGAATCTTCTTGATGAGAATGCCCTCGAACGCAAATATGGTCACAATCCTTCCCCAGTTAATGACGCCGTCTTCAAATTCCTTCTCCATCACTTGGTGGAATACTGTCCTGGCGGCATCTACCGACGCCACGTTGAACCTGTCCAGACACGGCTGCAGCTTCTTCTCGACCTCCCCCTGGACGGAGAAGGCCATGTCCTGGAGCAGCTCGGAGGCTCGGCTCGGCGGGGCCCCGGGCTGGGTCACCTGCAGGACATGCTTCATGTAGTCCTGGGCCAGCATGAGAACGTACCCAAAGTCGCCGTCCGCCATCCTCCGCCCGCGCGCAGCCCCGTCTGGAGGCCGGTCCCCGGGCGGCAGCCGGGTGATGGCAGGCAGAGCCCCGCGGCCCCCGCACCGTGTGACGCAGGGTGACGTGTGGAGCCAGGGAAGTTTCTGTCTGCATCACGGGGCAGATCCTTCCCCCCAGTCGCTCTCGGCCTGGGCTGCGTGTGAAAGAGAAAGTGGACGGCGTGAAAGGGGGAAATGCCTCGGGGAGCCGACTTCCTCAAACCGTGAGTGCTGGACCCAGGCTCCGATGTCTTCGATGGGAGCCCCGCGCCGCGGGCGGGCAGTCCGTGGGGCGGCCCCTGCGGAAGTGCGGCAGTTCCTCCAGAAGTTACGTGTGGGGCTACCAGACGGCCAGGCAAGCCCGCTGTGAAGCGCACCCCCAGGGCCGGAAACAGGAACTCCGCCCTTGCACGCGAACCTCACGGCAGCAGTGTTGACAGCGGCCCGGTCGATTCTGCAGTGTGAACGGCCATCGCCGGGTAAGCAGATACATCGTGCAAACTTATGCAGCCGTGGAGAAGGAATGAAGTGCTGAGACAGCCCCCAGGGGGCCGGGGCAGGGACCCACGGGGGGCGGTCCCTGCGGGGGAGGGGTCCCGTGATTCCCTTCAGTGTGGGCGCCCGGAACGGGCAACACGGACGCACAGAGCAGACTGGTGGATGCGGGGGGCGAAGCGGGTCGGAGCTACTCCTTCCTAGGAAGACGGTGATGTTGTGAGCACCGTCAGTGAGCACTGTTCACGGCTCACTGTCCACTTGGAAGGGGGTCATTTCACATTACGTGAGTGCCACCTGCCAGGAAGTGTCCAACGTGGCCACCCAGCCGCGGCCCTGGCCAGTGACCATTTGCGGGGGAGCTCAGCCAACAGTCTGGGAAGCGGACAAGACGGGCCTGTGGGGCGCGCTCGGGCGGCTCGCCCTCGCGCCTGGAGACTGGAGCCGGTGACGTGGGCGGGGCGGCCCCTCGTCAGCCTGCACCCCTGTCCCGCTCACACCAGCAGCCTGGACCCCGTTCTGAAATCGGGTGGATTATCCCATGTCTGAATCAGAAACTGCAGGACCAGACGGGGCTCCAGACCTATGTGTGCGCAGGTCCCTGGCTCCCGGCTGGCCCCGCCGCCTCCCCCCTTGCCCACCTCGGGCCCTGCATCCGTGCGATGGGACGGGAAGGTACAGCACGGGGCGGGCGGGCTGGCCTCGAGCGGGGGTCGGACGAGGCAGGAAGCCCGGTCGGTTGCCCTGGCCTGTGTGAACGCGGCCCCATCCCTCTCCCTGCACCTGCACGGATGGGATGCGCCTCCCACAGGGACGGAGCTGAGTAAGGGCGCCATGTGACGTGACGGACACCTCTGTCACCGCCTGGAGCTCAGGGGGTGGCTGGGGACACGGGCCCGACATGGCCTAGCGTCTGCGAGAGAAGTGTCGGGGACCGAGGGTGGATTTCGTGTCTCCTCACCAGAGCGCACGGCGGTTCAGGTGTTTGGGGGTCACCCCGTCCCTGGCCGGCCGTGATGCCAGCAGCGGGAGCCCCCGGAGGAGAAAGAGACGAGAGCGCGGGCAACACGGGTCCCCGGGGAAGTTGTGTTCACTCTGCACCCACATGTGCAGTGACCGAGAGCCTGTCCGCCGGGGTCCACAAATCTCTACAAACGGGGGAAACTCATGCTGACTTGTGCGTGAACATCACACGCCCTGATCCCGGAGTCCCGGGGAGACAGGGGGCCCTCACGGAGCAGAGGAGCGTGTCCGGGGAGCGCCCTCCCCTGCCCTCATGGCCGCATTCTCTCACCCACGGGAGCACGAAGCCGAGAGCAGTTCTCTCCTCCGAATGTCGCTGGGCGTCACGAGGAGCAGCGGAGGGGTGAGGGCTGGGGTCCTGACGCCCCCGAGGTCGTGAGCGCTTCTGGGAAAATGGCATAAGCACGTGCTTAAAGAGCTGCCGTTGGGCATTCCAAGGTCAGGGTTCACGCCGGCGCCCCACCTGCACCGCGGGAAGGCGGCGAATGAATGAATGACGTGTGTCTATACTGTCCCCGGGGCCAGCCGGCTTCAGGCTCCAACTTCCTGATCTGCATCCGCAAAGGCGCTGCTGTAAAAACTCCTGCTTTACTTTATTTCAGGTAATCGCTTCTCAAGAACGTGTGGGCGCGAGAAAGAGTGTTTACCAAAGAGAATGATTTCCTGTTGTGGGAAGCGCAGAGGGACCGAGGGGCCACGGACCAGGTGCCAGCACGGAAGGAGGCCCTCCCACCGCCCGTGCCGCTGGGGTGTGCACTCACCAGGGCCCGGCCATCAGTCCCCTGAGCCGCTCTGCCCGCACGTGGGACCTTGTACGAAATCAGGGGACCGCTCCGAGCACCCTGAGGGTCGACCAGAATGAGTGGGGTCCAGTCATCCCAGAAGCACCCGTGCACCATGTTAGGGGTTTGACACCAAGCCCTCTGCCCGTAGGGAGTTTCAGTGCAGGGAAAGCATGCGACGTTGGAGGCCACTGAAGGAGGAAATAATCAGTGGAAGCCCCTTCCTGGAGCCCGCCCGAAGGCCACGAGCCAGGTCTGTGGACACTCAACAGGGATGAGGTTCTGGAAAGGCACCTGCATCCCGCGGATCTGCTGTGGGACCAGTGGCGGATGGACGGCGGGAAATGCTTTCCTAACTCCGTCCACTCACACAAGCGCCCGTGGCCTGGCCACGGTCTTCTCTGCACACATCTCGTCCAGACGCTTCCACGGAGGAGGCACGGAGCTTGGCCCCGGCTGAGTGGAGGCCAGAGTTTGAGAACAAGGGTCAGAAGAGTGTGAGACACCTGAACCACCAGCCACATCCCCCGTTTGTAAAGCGCGAGGCCGCGAGGCCGCGACTGTTGCCGCCTTCCTGTATGTGAAGTGCCTCCTCCCTCTGCCACGTTTGCCAAAATTGCCGCATCTCTACGTTCCAGGTTCCAGCCTCCCTCGCTTCCACCAAACCAGAGCCCAGATCTCGGTGGCCCGAAACGGCGTGATCCCTCACGGGTGTGGGATCCAGGCCGGCGGCAGGCTCAGGGTTTTTCCGCGTGATCACTCTAGCAGGTGAGCTCAGATGGCTCACACTTGTCACGTGGCGGCTCAGGGGCCCAAGAGCAGGTGCTCCGGCGACACACGCGGGACACGATGAGCCATTTGTCACCGAGCCGAGAGCTCAGAGGCACCATTGCTGTCCTGCGCGGTTGGTAGTCATGGGGCCATGCCGATTCAAGGAGAGGAAACCCAGGCCACTTTTATCGCTAAGACGAGCATCAGGGAACGTGTGGGAGGTTCTAGAGCCGGCGCAAGGGGTGCACGTGCAAATCACGGACGTCCACGGTCCCCTGATGAGTCAGTGTGGTCCTCTCACCGGCCTGGCAGAGAGGAAACTGATCGGAGCCGTCCCGGCCACCCCGCCCGGGCCCACTCCCACCAGGCAGCCGCAGGGCTGTGAACCCCTGGGCCAGAACCCCCTGGGGACACGGTGGCCTGGATCTCACGCCTCCAGTGTGTCATCAGTCCCCTCGGGCCCTGGGGGTTCGACGGGGGACAGGAAGGAAGAGCCCCGAGGTTATCCCGGCTGGCGGGTGGCCAGGAGAACCCAAGCTCCAGGACAAGGAACCCGGTGAGTGACCTCAGCCACAGGCTGCTGAGGTCAACTTCGCTTTTCCCCAAAGGCGGAACTTGTGGGGGAAACTGCTGGGTTTTCGCTGCTCGGGGAGCCCCCGGCCCTGGCTGACCCTGCCTCCCCAGAGCGAGTCAAGCTGCTTCCCCCTCCCAAGGCCGTGGCAGAAAAAGACTTCCCGGAGAGCACTGGCCTTCGACAGTGACACGACCGGGACGCAGAGGGCAGCGGCGTGTGCACCGCAGGACCCCGCGGGCCCCGCCATCTGCTGCGGTCTGCGGGGGCCAGGCCTCAACCATCAGGCAACGGAGGGCAGTCTGCTCCCAGGCCGGAAAAGCCATTGTCCCAATGTGACGAGGCCCCTGGCGGGAGCGTGGTTTCCATCCAAGGAGGCTAATTTCTAGGAAATGCTATGAGCGAAATAAGCAGGTGGGACTCCCCCCAAGTCTCCCGCTGCATTTGGGAGTGAGGCTCAAGTGCGCGTGGGAAGGGAGGGAGCTGGGAGGCACAGAGGGCGGGAGAGAGGCGTCCACAGACGTGGCTCCTGGGGTTGGATTTTTAACTACGGTTGTAGAGGCCACAAGGGGATGGAGGAGGAAAGGGAGGGGGAACCGCTGGGGGGGTGTTAAAATCATGAATGGTCCCACAGAAGATGGGGTGACTGTGTGCGACCTGGAATGCTGTGCTAGTGTGTCCTTTGCACCGGTGCCGTCCAGGTGCCTGGTGACACCAGTCACACCTATGCATCCAGGTGCGCGCTCGGATCGGCCACATCTGTGCATCCAGGTGTGCGCTCGGGCCAGTCACGCCTGTGTGTCCAGGTGCGCGCTCAGATCGGCCACATCTGTGCCGTCCAGGTGCGCGCTCGGGCCAGTCACACCTGTGCATCCTGGTGTGCTCTCGGGCCAGGCACACCTGTGTGTCCAGGTGCATGCTCGGATCGGCCACATCTGTGGTGTCCAGGTGCGTGTTCGGACCAGTCAGACTTGTGTGTCCAAGTGTGTGCTCGGACCAGCCACCCCTGTGCATCCAGGTGTGCTCTCGGGCCAGGCACACCTGTGTGTCCAGGTGCATGCTCGGATCGGCCACATCTGTGGTGTCCAGGTGCGTGCTCGGACCAGTCAGACTTGTGTGTCCAAGTGTGTGCTCGGACCAGCCACCCCTGTGCATCCAGGTGTGCTCTCGGGCCAGTCACACCTGTGCATCCAGGTGCGTGCTCGGATCAGCCACACCTGTATGTCCAGGCGCACGCTGGGACCAGTCAGACTTGTGTGTCCAGGTGCACGCTCAGACCAGTGACACCTATGCATCCAGGTGCTTGGTTGGACCAGTCAGACCTGTGAGTTCAGGTGCGTGCTCGGACAGCCTCTCCTTCCCTGTCTGTGTCTTACTTGGACACCTATCGCCCATTCTGCACACAAGCTCAGGGCCCTGCAAGGGGTTCCCGCAGCCTAACCAGAGGAGCCCAAACTCCTAAAATGGACCCGTGCTCTGGCCTGACCTCCCTGGTCAAGCTGACTGCACCCCACTGCAGTCCCCACTTCCACTCTGGGGCGCTGTCCGGCTCTGTGCCTGTCCCCGCATCCCCACCCTCAGGGTCCCTGAAGGCTTCCCCATGCCCGAGCCAGGG